TCCAGGCAGGTTTTGAATGTCTCCAGAGAAGGAGACTCCACACCCTCCCTGGGCAGCCTGTCCCAGGGCTCTGTCACCCTCACTGTAAAGAAGTTTCTTCTGAAGTTTAAGCGGAACCTCCTGTGTTCCAGCTCACACCCACTGCCCCTTGTCCCTGGGCCTGGCTGTGTGGGGATCCACACAGGGTGTGCTGGGGAGCTCTGGCGGGGCAGCAGAGCGGCTCCTCCAGCCCCGCTCTGCCTGGGAGCCCAGGGTGAGGGGGGAAGCCGGGCTGTGCAGGGATCCCACCGCTTCCCCTGCAAACCTCTGCACAGGAGGAAGCGCTGCTGGGAGCAGCCAGGCCTGTTGGGAACCAGAGAGTGATGTCAGGGGATCAAAGCTTTTCTAAGGTCCAATTTCTCTCCTGACGATGCTCAAGTTTTCAGGCTGCCGTGCTCATTGTAATTCTCTCTTTGTAGCATCACTGCAGAAACTGTGGGGACATCTTCTGCAACACTTGTTCCAGTAACGAGCTCGCGCTGCCATCGTATCCTAAGCCTGTCCGCGTTTGCGATACTTGTCACACTTTACTCCTTCAGCGGTGTTCGTCCAATTCCTCCTAAGGCTTTGGGAACCTCGACAGGACCACTTTAACATTGGAAAAGTAGCCATCTTTTTTTTATTTGTTTAAATTTTGAATTCCAGGCATCATCTGTGCAGCAGAGTGTCTGGTCTCTAATCTGTAAGACTGAGCGGTGTAAAATAATTTGTAGGGATTATGCAAGCTAATGTTTCTCCAACTGGAATAATTAAGAAAATTATATCAACTGTAATTTTCCTTGAAACTAAAATGCAAATTCACTTTTCTGATTTTTATAAATATTTGTATTAAAATTTGTATGTGGTACTTCCATTTATTTGATCCCTTAAGCTGCCAACTGTCTTTCTGCACATTAACTTCAGTTCCTCTGTGTCTTCACTGTAGGTGCTCCTGTGAGTTCCACGGGCTAGTGTACAGTTTTGTATTTGCTCTAAGTACAGAGAAGCAAAGTCAATTTATGAATTGTCTATAGAAAGAGCTTTATGATGAGTGTCAACGTGCCTTCAGTTCACTGCAGAGTCAAAAACTACACCTTGTACTTGTTCTGAACGTCGCTGCCACCACAGGACGGTAGTTACACAATAAAACCTTTTGCAAAAACTGAAAGCAGGAGTGAAGGTGTGATTTTTAACAGCTGTCAGTCACGGATCTCAGAAGAGAATGTTCTTGTACAGCCATGGACATGGAGGGCTGAAGCTAGAGACAGTGAAATGCCTCTAGAATAGCTGACCATGTGTGTGCTCTTCACAGGGATTCTCCTCACAGGTGCCAGGTAAAGCCAAAGCTCTGCAGAGGCAACTGCTTCTGTCCTTCCCCAGGAGAAAAGCGGGAAGTGAGTCCAGAGGGCCAGGACCACCTTGGACACAGCAGGGCTAGGATTAGCTGCTGCCATCAGTAAGGGCATCACTGACTTGCTCAGGGTGAGGCAGGACTGGTCAAACACACAGTTTGGGATACGCTGTGTTCATGGAGCACCAGCTCTGCTGCCAGGTCAGCTGTCACCTTCCACCCATGATGGTCATGGAGACAGCAGCATCCCCAGCAGCACCTGCACTGCTCAGCAGACACAGTCAGCACAGAGCTGGGCTCTGGCCCCATCCCCCTGTGGGTGCTGCAGGACTGCAGGCAGCACGCACAGCTTACAAAGCATTTTTAAGCAGTTTTTTTTAATCTACCAAACCCAAAGAGTGGCCAAAGGATGAAGTGCTCAGGATTTAACCTTTTCTAGCTCCACTGCTGCAAAAGGTGAGGGGGTTTCCTTCACTGTGGAAAGGGCCCTCACCTTTCTAACCCCTGGGGAAGAATAGGTAATTAGAGGTCAAATAAATTAACTATGGCAAAACTCATGGAAGCAGATTCCGTGTCATTTCAGGGGCGGTTCCAGTGCTCACAAGCTGTAACTAAAAGCTGCTGCTGTATAAAATCAC